TTTAGCTCTCGGCAGACACAACATCTTTGTTTGTATATGGTGCTGAGGATTGAACCCGGGCTGCAAGCATGCCAGGTGAGCGCGCTACAACTTGAGCCACATCCCCAGCCCCTGCTTTTTCTATTTATATGAGGAATGCCATTGGGATTTTCATCAGAATTGCATTAAATTGGTATAGTGCTTTTGGTAATATGGTCATTTTGGTAATATTAATTCTGCCTATCCAAGAGCAAGGTAGATCTTTCCATCTTCTAGGGTCTTCTTTGATTTTTTTCTTTAGGGTTCTGTACTTTTCACTGTTAGATCTTTCATCTTTTTCATTAAGTTGATTCCCAAGTATTTTATTTTACTTTTTTGAGACTATTGTAAATGTGCATGGGCTCTCTCTCTTCCAGTGAGGAAGTCCATGGAACAGAGTAGAGGAGAGTGTGGCTGCAGAGTCATTATTCAAGACCTCTGGAGACCAAGCAGAAAGTAGGTCTGACTTTATTCAGCAGTTACCATGTATATATATTTAGCCAGTAGCTAAGCAAACAGACAGCCACTAATACAATTTCTGACCAACTGTCCTTACAACAACCAATTTAAGAGTGGGCTGTGGAGCAATCACAGGGATTGCAACATATGGCCTTACACCCAGGGCTGTGCCTAGGGGGTAAGCGGTTTGCCACTCACACACCTAGCACAGGAGAGGTGCTTTGCCACTCACATGCCCCTAACATATGTCATGTATGCAGTACTCTGTGCACTTGTCCCACATAAAGGGAGCAGTTTTCCTCATTTCCCTTTCAGAGGATTTGTCACTGCTATACAGAAATGCTTTTGATATATGGGTTTGATTTTATATTCTGCTATTTTGCTAAATTCATTTACTAGTTCTAGAAGTTTTCCGGTAGAATTTTTTGGTTTTTCTAGTTATAGAATCATTTCAACAGCAGATAGTGCTAATTTGAGTTCTTCTTTTCCTGTCTATATCCCTTTAATTTCTTTTGTCTGTCTAAATGCTCGGGCCAGTGTTTCAAGAACTATGTTAAATAGAAGTGGTGAAAGAGGACATCCCTGTGTTGTTCCATTTTTTAGAGGGAGGGAATTCTTTCAATTTTTCTTTATTTACAATGATGTTGGCCTAGGGTTTAGTTCAGATTGCCTTTATGATGTTGTGATATGTTCCTGTTATCCCTAATTTTTCTAGTGTTTGGAACACGAAGGGTGCTGTATTTTGTCAAATGCTTCTTCTGCATCTATTGAGATGATCATATGATTCTTTAAGTCTATTGATGTGATGAATTACACATTAATTTTTATATATTGAACCAAACTTGCATCCCTGGGATGAATCCTACTTGATCATGGTGCACTATCTTTTTTATATGTTTTTGTATTTGTTTTGCCAGAACTTTATTGAGAATTTTTGCATTATGTTTATTAGAGATATTAGCCTAATGTTCTTTCTTTGATGTCTGTTTGCTTGGTTTTGGGATCAGGGTGATATTGGCCTCATAGAATGAGTTTGGAAGTGCTCCCTTTTTTCTGTTTACTGAAATAAATTGAAGACTATTGTTATTAGTTCTTCTTTAAAGGTCTTGTAGAACTCAGGCCTGGGCTTTTCTTGGTTGGTAGGCTTTCGATGGTGTCTTCTATTTTATTGCTTGATGTTGGTCTGTTTAAATTGTGTATATCATCTTGATTCAATTTTGGCAAACCAGGGATGGGGCTGTAACTCAAAGGTAGAGTGTCCGCCTAACATGTGTGGGGCACTGGGTTCAATCCTTCGCACCACATAAAAAAATAAATAAAGATATTGTGTCCAACTACAACTAAATTTTTTTAAAAAAATCTGAATATATCAATTTGGGCAAATCATATTACTTAAGAAATTTGTCAATGCCTTCAATATTTTCTATATTATTGAAGTACAAGTTTTCAAAATTATTTCTAATTATCTTCTATATTTCTGTAATTTCTGTTATATTACTTTTTTTCATCACATTTGCTAGTAATTTGAGTTTTCTCTCTTCTTCTCTTTGTTAGTGTAGTGTATTTATTTTTTCAAAGAACAGACTTTTTGTTTTGTCAATTTTTTAATTGTTTTGTTTTCATTTCATTGATTTCAGCTCTGATTTTAATTATTTCCTGTCTTCTACTGCTTCTGGTGTTGATTTGTTCTTCTTTTCCTAGGGCTTTGAGGTGTAATGTTAGGTCATTCATTTGTTGACTTTTTCTTCTTTTAAGGAACGAACTCCATAGAATGAACTTTCATCTTAGTACTGCTTTCATAGTGTCCCAGAGATTTTGATATGTTTGTTGTGTCTATGTTCTCATTTACCTCTAAGAATTTTTTAATCTCCTCTTTAATGTCTTCTATAACTCATTGTTCAGTAGCGTATTGTTTAATCTCCAGGTGTTGGAGTAATTTTTATTTTTTATTTTGTCATTTATTTTGTCATTTCTAATTTTATTCCATTATGATCTGATAAAATGCAGGGTAGTATCTCTACTTTTTGTATTTGCTAAGAGTTGCTTTGTGTCATATTATATGTTCTATTTTAGAGAAGGATCCATGTGCTGCTGAGAAGAAAATGTATATTCTTGCTGAAGGGTGAAATAGTTTATATATGTCAGTTAATTCAAAGTTATTGATTGTTGTTTTGAGATCCATAGTTTGTTTGTTCAACTTTTATTTGGAAGATCCAGTGGTGAGAGAGGTGTGTTAAAATTACCCAAGATGATTGTGTTGTGGTCAATTTGACTCTTGATCTTGAGAAGAATTTGTTTGATGACCATAGATGCTCCATTGTTTGGGGCATATATATTTATAATTTTTATGTCTTGTTGGTGTATGGTTCCCTTGAGCAGTATGAAATGTCCTTTTTATCCTTTTTGATTGACTTCAGCTTGAAGTCTACTTTATTTGATAGGAGGATGGAAACCCTTGCTGTCTTCCACAGTCCATGTGAGTGGTATGATTTTTCCCAACCTTCACCTTCAGTCTATGTATTTCTTTTCCTATCAGATTAGTCTCCTGGAGGGAGCATATTGCTGGGTCTTTTTTAAAAATCCAATCTACTAGCCTTTGTCTTTGGTTGGTGAGTTAATGCCATTAACATTCAGGGTTATTATTGAGACATGATTTGTATTCTAGCCATATTTGTTTATTTTTGTTATTTAACTTGACTTGTTTTCTTCTTTGATTAGTTTTTCCTTTAGGGTAATACCTCCCTCTGCTGATTGTCATTGTTGTTTTTACATTCATATTTTCCCAAGGATGTTTTATAGTGTCAATTTTCTAGCTGTAAATTCTTTTAACTTTTGTTTATTATGGAAAGTTTTATTTAATCATCAAATCTAAAGCTTAAGTTTGCTGGATACAAGATTCTTGGTTGGCACTAATTTTCTTTCAGAGCTTGATAAATGTTGTTCCAGGATCTTCTAGCTTTCAGGGTCTGTGTTGAATAATCTGCCATTATTCTAATTGGTTCCCCCTATATATATAATCTGATTCCTTTCTCTCATAGCTTTTAATATTCTCTTCTTATTCTGTATTTTGTGCCTTTTCATTATAATGTGCCTTGGTGTAGATCTGTTGTGATTTTGTACTTTTGGCATCCTATAGGCTTCTCAAATTTGGTTTTCCAATTAATTCTTAATGTTTAGAAAATTTTCTGGTGTTATTTCATTGAATAAATTGCTCATTCCCTTGGTTTGGAACTCTATGCCTTCCTCTATCCCAATAACTCTTAAATTTGGTCTTTCTATGTTACCCCATATTTCTCGAATGTTCTCTCATGATTTCTTACCATTTTCACTGTGTGGTATACATTCTTTTAAAGATTATATATTTTGTCTTCATTGTTTGATGTCCTGTCTTGCCAGTGGTCTACTATGTTGGTAATGCTTTCAATTGGACTTTTAATTTGGTTTATTGTTTCTTTCATTTCAAGGATTTCTGTTTGTTGTTGTTTTGTTTTTAGAACCTCTATCTCCCTGTTGAGGTGATCTTTTGCTTCCTGTATTTGTTTATGTAGCTCTTTGTCGAAATGATCTTTTACTGCCTGCATTTGCTGTATTATATCATCCTTTAATTCACAGAATATTTTAATCATGTACATCCTGAACTCCTTCTCTGTAATTTCTTCTGCTGTGCTGGCCATGAATTCTAATAATGTAGTATCATGATTTGTTTGGGGCCCTTTCTTCCCTTGTCTTTTTATCTTGCTTATTTTTCTTCCCTTCTAGCATTGTGGGTCCAAGGTGTTATTGTTTTTACCCTATGGCTTAGAGTTCTCCTGTAGGGTTCCAATACCTCTCCTTTGTAAGGAAGGACACTGTTAACAGATCCCAATATCAACAATATACCACCTATAACCAATTAATTGCTATTAAGATGTTTATAGTCTGGTCACAATTTACAGAAATGTAGAATTTGATTATTATCTATAATATAATCAATAGGCTTGAAAAAGTGTCTACAGTTTCTGACATTGGACAATGAACTGGAGGTGAGGCATAGGATGATATGCTGAGGAGGCAGGATGTGAGGATATAGAGTTAATATATCTTAGGATTTATGAAAGATAAATCTAATAAAGAAGGCTAGTAGCAAGAGAATAGGCTGGAAGTAATTTTGGGTAGACAAGTACATGGGAAGAGAGTAGAGAACATAAAACAAACACACATATGTATTCAGAAAAATAAAGGGTGTTAAATAGTAAAAATTGGAGGGGAAAAATAAGGTATATACAACACACCTATAATATATTATTCAAATGTCCCAGTCCTCAAAATCCTAATTCATGCAAAGTACTTGGTTTCACCTATGTTGGGGATTTTAGGGTGGATGGATAGAGAAAGAGAAGAAAAAGAAAGAAAGGGAAAAAAATCCTTAAAGGAAGAAACCAGGATTATTGATTGTTTTGGAGATCAGTATCTTTCCTGCTTCCCTTCTCATCCAATAGGTAGGGTTTTCTGGTATCTCCACTCTCAGGATGGTGAAGGTAACCATGGTGGGAGGGCTGGGTACGTGGAAGTGAAGTGTGACACCTGCCTGTCTCTGCAGGGACACTGCACCTTAAGGGTCATTTTTTGGGACCACTCATATGACTTGAGTGCCCAGTTCTATCTCCCTATCTTGGCTGAAGATTGCCCAGTTCCTGGTCTATTAGTCTACAAACTTTTGCCTAGTTTCCCTCTCCCTTAGCAATTCCTAATTAAGAGACCTGTCTCACTGGGGCTCCTGTGTGTGGCACCCTGGTCTCATTGCATACTGTCCCACTGAAAGCTGTTTTGTGTTGGGCAGTTGCTCTGCCAGGTTACCGCTGCTGGGAGAGTGGGAAGTTGGGAACTGGGTATCTGGCCTGCTGGAGTTCCAATCTGATGGCTGCCCCCACTAAATAGGGCAAGGAAGGTGGCCCAAGTTGGAGGTGATTCGCTTCCAGCACTGGGGTGTTGTGTGGGGTGGAGGAAGTTGGGCAATGGCCCTGTGCAATGTGTTCAGACATGAGCTATGTGATGTTTAGTACTGCAGATTTTGGCTGTCTTCAGAGCTGTGAGATGTCCCCAGGTGCAGGGAGGTCGCTGTGTAGGGAACTATGTCAGTAGCTGACGAGTGGAGTCACAAGATGGAGGCAACTGGGGAAGCCCTTTGTTGATAGTTGGGGGTCCACAGGGGAGTGGCAGCCAGAGTTTCTGTGGGTAGGTAGCAGCTGACTGTCCTGCATGGGAGTGGACAATGAGTTTAATTCCTTTTTTTTTTTTTTTAACACAATTAAGTTTTCTACTTGTTTTGATAGCAACTGAGACTTAGCTGCTACCCTGGTGTAACAATTCCATGTCTTACCCAGCAAACTCTGAATTCTGAAAGCTTAGTTTGTGGGAGGGAGTAAAACCCTTCTCATTCTCTTTGTAAATGCAAACATTGACATGATTCTTTCTCCTCAGAGACTGCACAGCTTCGCCTGGTGGATGGAGACAGTCGATGTGCAGGCAGAGTGGAGATTTTTTACCAGCATTCCTGGGGCACTGTCTGTGACTACAGCTGGGACCTGAATGATGCCCATGTGGTGTGTAGACAAATGGGCTGTGGAGTGGCCCTAAATGCTGTGCACGAGGCACTCTTTGGGGAAGGATCAGGGCCCATCTGGCTGCATGACCTGAAGTGCACAGGCAAGGAGTCCCATGTGTGGAAGTGCCCTTCTCTAGGCTGGGGACAAAACTACTGCACACACAAGTTGGATGCAGGTGTCATCTGCTCAGGTATGGCTAGTGAATTCCCACTGTATTGGAGAATGAAAAGGTCTAAGGAAGTGAGTGTCTTACCCTTGGGGGAGTAGTAAAAGAACAGTCCATTGAGGCAGAGAGGTTCTTTCATAGACCTTGAGTGTTTGAAATACCTGCAGATCATGGGCTTCATTTATTTCCCTTCTTGTAAATTTCAAATATTGTTTTTTTCTTTTCTCAATTCTCTTTCATGATAAGATAAGTTTGTTGTAGGATGATTCCACTTAAAATAAATCTTCATAATTTTCTTTCTCTAATTTACTATTTTTAGAATTATACATAAATTACCATGCATTCTCTGTTTGCAACGCTTTTCAAAAAACACACAAGAATGAGGCTTTGCTTTTCTCTGTTGAAATGAATGTTTATATATGTATAGCCAGAGATAATTTTGCACTGGGTCAGTAGGTGTATGGGCACAGGGATGGGATTAAACACCCCTCAGGAGAATTTTGAATTACTGGAAAGTTGCAATTCTTCTTTCCCTATTTAGACATGAGAATTCTTAGCACATTGGCAGGAAGAGCTAGAGAACTGTGAATTAAGTGCCCTGAGTCACAGCCTTTCCTTCCATCATTACTACAGTAGATTCTCATTACATTTCCTTTTCAAAGCAGCATCTATATAAACTCATACTTGGGATGGTTAATGTAACCCAGTTGTGGCTAATGTTGAATTCCATAAAATGTTAATGTATAATTTATTTATTTTGAGAGAGAGAGAGAGAGAATTTTAATATTTATTTTTTAGTTTTTGGCGGACACAACATCTTTGTTTGTATGCAGTGCTGAGGATCGAACCCAGGCCGCACGCATGCCAGGCTAGTGCGCTACCGTTTGAGCCACATCCCCAGCCCTTAATGTATAATTTATTATGGTAAGAGAACATGTAGTTTAGGATCAGGATATTTATTCAGTGATCTCCCACAAATACACTGAATTAACTGCTGTTTACACACCAAACTAGCTTGATAAGAGAAAAATAAACCAGGTGAATGCCTGCTTTTAGTATATTAAAAAGAAATGACATATTCAAGAGGGAGGAAGTTTAGAAGTTTCCAGCCTCAAGCAGCCCAGCATGAAGACAGATGCATCCTTCCTGGGGAATGGAAAAGAAATCAACCTTAGGCTTCAGACTTAAAACCCAGGACAAGAACTGCCAGAATGAAACCTGGTATCCTGTAGAGTCTGACAACACTGATTTCTATACCAGTGCCCTCAGACTGAGAATCTAGAACTGTGTTTAGTCATCAAAAAAAGACTGTCTCCACCTCCACGCCTCCAAGCTACCTTGGCAGAGAGGGAAGCAAGACTCTACTTGCTAAGGAGCAGGGCACAGGGCTGGCACAGTACTTTGTCTTGGAGCTCAGTGCTAGGCCCACCATGAGGTAGTGATACTCAGCACTCAGTGGGAATTAGAGGTCTCAACTGTAGATCAGAGACCATAGGGCGAGAAAGACCTGAGTGCTGGTGGGACATATTCAAGTAGAGCCTGTGGTTGGTTGCAGGAGTCCTAGTCTTTGAGACTACCTCAGCAGCAGGCGGTTCATAGCATTGAGGGTCTTGGTGAATTCACAGTTCTGTGTTGTCCTAGCAGGCTGTTTTCTAGGGTTGTGAAATAAGCATGGCAGCATTGGTGGCCACAGGACCACCCTCCTCATTCCTCCCCAAAGCCCAGACAGCACACTATGGAGAAAGTAGAGAGTTAAGTCTCTGCTTGGGAGGTGAAAATTTAGTGGGCCACTCAGATTTGACCTGGAGCCTTTGGATCTTTACATGTTATAACACACCTCACAAAGATGAAAAATAAAGAGTATCAAGAAATCAACTTCCTCTTATATGTAATTTTGTATGACAATGAGGGTTTTCTTCCATTACCATGCAATTTCCCTTCTCTGTCCCTTTCCCTCCCACCTCTCGTCCCTGTTTAATGGTAATCTTCTCATGCTCTTCCTCCTTATTCTGTTCTTAGTTGCCCTCCTTATATCAAAGAAGACATTTGGCATTCGTTTTTAAGGGATTGGCTAGCTTCACTTAGCATAATCTGCTCTAATGCCATCCATTTCCCTGCAAATGCCATGATTTTGTCATTTTTTAGTGCTGAGTAATACTCCATTGTGTATAAATGCCACATTTTTTAATCCATTCATCTATTGAAGGGCATCTAGGTTGGTTCCACAGTCTAGCTATTGTGAATTGTACTGCTATGAACATTGATGTAGCTGTATCTCTACAGTACGCTCTTTTAAAGGTCTTTGGGGAATAGTCCGAGAAGAGGAATAGCTGGGTCAAATGGTGGTTCCATTCCCAGCTTTCCAAGGAATCTCCATACTGCATAGGAAGGGCAGCAGAATACAACAGACACTAGTATGGCAATATGTAAATCAATGGATGTGTAATTGATGTGATTCTGCAATATGTATACGGGGTAAAAATGGGAGTTCATAACCCACTTAAATAAAATGTATGAAATATGATATGTCATATGTCAAGGATCCAACATGGCGGCAAGAGGGGAGGCAGCGCTTTCAGTACCTCCTCAACAACGGGGTCAGAGAGACGCATGGATACGCTTAGATTCGACCTGCTGAGAAACTCCTAGCAAAATTCCACTAAAGAGAGACCGGCCAGGAATCGGTAGGATTTTTGGAGGTGACAGTCTGCACTAGACGAGTGAATCTCCGCCACGCAGCGCAGAGGTCCAGACCCGCCAGCCGCTGACCGCGCGACTTGGCGACTGTCGGCTGCCTGCACGCGGCCCCTGCATCAGGGCGGATAGCCTCCGAGGCGCAGTGCAGCAGGAGCGGTGCAGGGACTCTAGGAAGAGGTCTCTCGCCAAGCCTTCATGAAATAGCGAACCGGGAGCTGAAACCAACCAGAGTCAGACCAGTCCCACCCCTCCCTTCGGACACTCCGGCAAGGAGCCTGGGGCCCGCCATAGCAGAGTGGTGACATCACCAGAGTTCCACTGACAGAATTCCTTCCCAGCGGAATCCACGTTAGCAGGTGTGTGACTCCCACCCCCTCCAGATACAAGCAGCCAGGAAACCTCGGGAATCTCTCCGGGGGCATGTCTGTAGGGAAGCAGAGAGGATTCCAGATCCCCACCTCCCCTTAACACCAGCGGCGACACCCAAGATCTTAGCCGCCAGTTTATGGGGGCGTGCCCACCAAAGGGGTCCGGAAAAATTAAACTGTTGGTTCCCAGATCACCCCACCACAGCACTGGGGCTTAGATGAATGACAGAGAGGGTGTTCATCGTTCGGGATATAGGACACGCGGTGGGGCTGCAAGTGTAATCAGATCCTTGGGGAACCGCCTCTGGTGAACAGGACCTGGCGGGCTGGCTGGGAGGAGGAACAGGGGGAGGAGCCAGATAAGTGAAAGGGCTCTGGTCTAACAGGATTGAGAGACTCCCAGGAGCCACCGTACAGGGATTTCTGTCAGCACATAGAGGGCAGAAGCTCGGCTCAGAGGGCACAGCTCCGCCTATTGGAAGAGAAGAAAATGGGATTCAGCCATAGAACAGGGGATGCCAGCATGGCAGAGATCTGATGTGATCGGAGAGCGGCCGAGGAGAGAACTTCATCGGTGCCAGCGGCGACGGAAACAGTTGGTCCCCTGGTAGGGAGGGTGAGTCACAGATACCCGAGTCTCTCTCGCTTTGTCGTCGAGCCAGAGGGGAGGAGCGGGGCCTCCGCCTGCGCCCGCAAGGTAGGCAGACCTGCGACCAACCTGCAGATCAGGCCCAGCGGTCTGCAGGCGTGGTAGGAGGGGCAGGGCAGAGCCGCCGCCCGCGCCGGCGAGGTAAGCAGACCTGCGACTGACCGGCGGATCAGGCCCAGTGGCCTGCCAGCGTGGTACACACTTCACCCCAACTGGAGTAGGGGCAGAGCAGAGCCTTCGCCCGCGCCCAGATCAGGCCCAGCGGCCCGCCTGTGTGGTGGTCAAGTGACCCCAATTGGAGTGGGGGCGGAGCGGAACTGACACCCGTGCCCGCAAGGTGGGCAGACGGGCGACCAACCTGCAGATCAGGCCTAGCGGTCCCCGGGCGTGGTAGGAGGGACAGGGCAGAGCCTTCGCCCCCACCTGCAAGGTAGGCAGACCTGCGACAGAACGGCGGATCAGGCCCAGGGGTCCGCTGGCGTGGTAGACACCTCACAACAATTGGAGGAGGGGCAGAGCAGAGCCCCCGCCCGCACCTGCAAGGGAGACTTTTCAACTATACAAGAGCAATATAAATATATAGGGGGGGAAAAATTTCAAAAACACAACAATTTCACCAAGAAGAAAGAAACGCAAGCAGTATGAAAAGACAAGGAAAGAAAGGATTACAAGCAATGCAGGTCAACTCAACTTTAGAAGAGGTAACAGCTGCAGCAGATGGAATGTCAGATAAAGAATTCAGGATATATATGCTCCAGATGATCTGGAGTATCAAGGAAGACATTAGACAGCAAAATCAGACAATGAAAGATCACTTCGACAATGAATTACACAAACAAATCCAGGAAGCAAAGGATCAACTATACAAGGAGATAGAGGTTATAAAAAACAAACAAACAGAAATCCTAGAAATGCAGGAAGCAATAAACCAACTTAAAAACTCAATTGAGAATACTACCAGCAGAGTAGAACACTTAGAAGATAGAACATCAGACAATGAAGACAAAGTATTTCAACTTGAAAAGAACATAGACAGCTCAGCAAGACTGTTAAGAAACCATGAGCAGAACATCCAAGAAATATGGGATAACATTAAGAGACCAAACTTAAGAGTCATTGGGATACAGGAAGGTATAGAACTCCATACCAAAGGAATGAGCAATCTATTCAATGAAATAATACGAGAAAACTTCCCAGACTTGAAGAATGAGACAGAATCCCAAATTCTAGAAGCCTACAGGATGCCGAATGTGCAAAATTATAAGAGATCCACACCTAGACACATTATAATGAAGATGCCCAACATACAG